AACATAAAAAATTATTGTAAACTTTTTGCTGAAGTTATTTATTCTAAAATTAATATTATATTTTTTTTTTTACCTTATTTAGCGATTGTATTTTTAAATAAGTTAATTTATCTTAATCTTATAGTAAAATTCCTTAAAATCGCATAATGAAATGTTATAATAAATTTAATATTTTTAAGCTAATAAATTGGCGATCCCTCAAAATTACATTGTTTATTATATTTTATGTAATTAATATAGCGGTTCATATACAATCAGCAGTTTTTCTATAAAACCAGATGGTTGGTTTCCTTATGGAACCAACCACCAGTGGGACAGCTCTATATGGGGTTGTCCTACATGACTTTCATGTGGGTCAGCCCCATGTGTAGTTGTCCAACTGGTGGTTGGTTCTATAAGAAAACCAACCATCTGGTTCCTTATCAAAATTGATGCAATCAGATAGTTATGTACTATTTATTTTAACCAATTATCAAATTTTAAAACATAATATCATTATCTAATTTATATTTTTATTATTATATGCATAAATATAACTTATAATACTCTATGTTTAAAATATAATATCATTGTATAACGTATAATATTAATATTATATGCATAAATGTAAATAATAATATTCTATTTTACAGTGTGCAAATGCACACGGTCGAATACTAGTATATATAATTGCTGGCATGTAGCATTTAATAAAACCTCTAAAAATTTTCCTCCATTTTTTATTACAAAATTTGTCATTAATATTTTTTACTTCTCATATTAATACATCTTAATGAGTGTAATCATGTATGTTTCTATTATATTATATAATAGTTATTGCTAATACCAACTAACAATAATTCAAAATAAATATAAATTACATAATTATAAACAAGTGTTTCAAGTTATGTATTTTATAATCAATATTATATTATTCTTTTGTATCTCATAAAAAAATCTCTCTAAAAACAATTAGTAAATTGTTTTAATAGCATAGTTAAACAACTTTAGAATCTTATAAATAATTATTTTTTAATAATATATATAATTGCTAGCTTAGCATTTAATTTTACATATTTAATAAAACCTCTAAAATTTTCCCTCTATTTCAGTTACAAAATTTATCATTAATATTTTTTTACTTCCCACATTAACACATCCTATTAAGTGTAATTATGTATTTTTCTATAATATTATATAATAGTTATTGCTAATACCAACTAATAATAATTCACAATAAATATAAATTACATAATTATAAACAATTGTTTTAAGTTATTTATGTAGAAAGTTGGCTCCATGGAGAGCTGATTATAGACAGGTTTATTTGTTGTATATAGCAAGTTGGCTCCACTATAGAACCAACTGTTGGTTTTATAACAAAACCCGGTATGCTATATTGTATGTGATTGTTTTATATAATATAAATGAGATCATCTATATATATATAATTACTAGCTAATCCTATTTAATAAAACATTTAATAAAAACATTTCACTTTCCCTCCAAAAAGAGTTACATTTTTTTGTTAATTAATTACTCACTAATTCACATTTAAGAAGATTTCTGTTAGTTAAACTTAATTAGTTAATGGCTAAATTAAAAAGGTTTTTTTTAGTTAATCCCACATTTATGTTTCTTATTCTCATTTATATATATAAACGTGGCAATCATTATTGTTGTGCAGAAACTATATATTATTTTTTATTCCATTATAAATTGAATAAGCAATTAAAGTTATAAAAGATATTAATAAATGTAATAAATACAAACATTATAATACAGATCATGTTACATTACAATATAAAAAATGAAATTATTTTTTTGTAATTTAATTTCCAACCATACTCCATCAAACATATAGCTGCAAAATGATAAGAAAGATTAGTTTCATAACTAAAATAAAAATTTAGTTTCTCCAAATGGTAAAACCTTATAAATTAGTAGTATAGATACATTTAAATGACATATAATTTATAAAGTTAGACTATACGCATAATAAGATGAATTAAAAAAAAAAGTTATGAAGTAAATAAATAAATAACAGTATATATAATTATTATAACAAAATCTATATTGTCAATATTATCATTTAAAAAGTTCATTGAAAAAACATATGTATTAAAAAAAGTCATATGATCATAATTAATAGTGCAAAATTAACTATCTTTGACTTTCCATTTGGTAGTAATAATAAAATATTTCATATTACTACTATTCAATAAATGCATGAATTCTGCAGATTTGATTATCGCTATCAACATTCTGTTTTATAAATTAAAAAGTGTGCGGAATAAATTGTCTCATATTTTTCATTAAAAAAATTGTTGGCCGTGAAAAAAAAAAATATTATTTCACAATTATAAATATAAATATGATTAATTAATTTTCATGATAGAGTTCCTTTTTAAGAAAAAAATGGCGGGAAAAATTTCTGTATGATTATAACATCAAAACATATCCAAAACATCAATATTTTAAGGCATTAAAACCATACTTTCAGCAACAGAAAAAGTCATATTAAATGGAAATTGGCAAAGTAAAAAAATGAGGATTGACAAGGCATTATATGTAATGGCAGATTGTTGTATAATATAGAAATATCAAGCATAATTAATAATAAAAAAAAAAAGTCAAATTTATATGAAAAAAAAAAAATCAGAATTAAAAACACAACAAATTATGTGGAACATTATTGGACACTATACAATATAGAAAGAAAAATAATTTGATTTCCCTATCATTATCAACACATTCAACTTTTACCAAGACATCTGCCTTTATATTAAAATCGACTTTTTGCGTAAAAGTTTTAAAATAAAAATTATTACAGATTCTTTTAAACATTAAACAAGAAATTCCTAATATGCGATAAATATATGTAAACAGATTTGTTACAAACTTACCTAATATTTCTAAATTTTGAACAAAATACTAAAAACTTCAAAAAACTTCGGCAAAAGACTTTGAACAACTTCAAAAAGCGATTTTGAACAAGTGTTAAGCAAAGCTTCACTTACTGATATGATGAGAAAGACGAGAAAGAATTGACTATTTAGTGTTCAAAATGTGAACAAAACACATAAAAGTTACATATGTATGTTATAAACATATATGAACATATATGTTATAAACTTACCTATATATTTGTTAGTAGAGCTGAACATATCTGTTAGAAACTTACCTATTTTTCAAACCTGAACAAAATACATAAAAGTTTGAAAATGTTCGACCAATGTCATGTTCTCTTCAAAAAAAGATTTGAAAAACATCTAGATAATTTTGAATTATGTATAAAATATGATATATCTTTGGAGTTTATTCAAAAAAAAATTTGAAGAACGACAAAGATCATTGAAAATAATAAAAAATAAAACTATATTTAACAAAAAATATTTCAGCTCTTCATAAATTTGTAATATTATCGCCCGATTTTGACCGGCCTGTTAAGATTTAGCAACAAAGATTAAGAAATGGGGACGAATATTTATTTTTCGATCACTACTGTTGGCCACAAAAACAACATTTCTTGGATTTTTTTTTAAATTTTTTAATCCTTTACTGGGAGAAAATCTCCGGTAAAACATTTATTTTGTATTGAATCTCGCCGAGTTTGTCGTAAGATCGGGTTAAGGATTAGGGTTTCAGACAGAGTGAATAACGAAAGGAGCGCCGACATCAAACAAAAAAATTGGCTTACATCACTCAAGGAGTTTATCTCTATTTATAGTCATGTTATCATTGATATGTTTTATATTTGATATTGGTTACCCTAAAAAATTAAGTGGACTTTTAATTTGGGCTTTTTTTTTATCATTCAACCGCCCAAAAATTGTCATTTTGTTCAAATGTCTTAAATATTTGGCACATATCATTATTTATCAACCAAATACAATTATTTATTTTGTAATATTTTGCTGGTATTTTTATATTTTTTTTTTGTTTTTTAAATTTCCTATACCTAGCTCAGTAGTTTCAACCGAACAATAGGTTTGGTGTTGTTGATCAGTCCGTAGCCAGCCGGAGTACATCTTTTGAATGGCATTAGAGAAGAGGAAGAGCTGTTTAGAGATAGAATCAGGAAACGCTGCCCGAAAGAGTTCATTGGCTGAGGCGTAACACCGGCCTCTTCCTTTTCAATCAGAGGTTCCCATCCCACTGCCTAAAAGAAGAAGGCCAGTTAGCCGCAAATGATCTATAGTACAAAATACAATAATTATTTAAAAAATAAAACCATTATATGTCTTAATTTGAAGATAGTGATTTGTAGTGATGGAGATTCAATTGATAGAAAAATCACAAACTTTGTATATAAAGAATTGTTTAACAATATTTAATTATTCTTTTTTAGAACATTTTTTCAATGATTATATTATGATTTTTACTATTGTTTATATCTTTTTATTATTTTTTTTTGTATTATAATGCTTTCCGTGCAAATGCACGGGTTAAAACTAGTGATATTAATGGCCAATTGATTGTTTCGTGTAACATAAATAAGATTATGAAATTAATAGCCATTAATTTGAAACCTCAAAGTAGATTCATTGACTATTTTTTCTACACACTTAATCTCGAGTCAAACACCTACTATGAGTCAATTTAAGAAATATGCTTCTTCACATATAATTTTTCTTTTGTTTTTCACAACCTCTTAATAATTCAACTAGTATGTCACCCTTGCGATACACGACTATATTTATTTTAGAGAATATTATAATTTGAAGTGTGTGTTTATTTTGTAGAGTATTATAATTTGAAGTGTATTAATAAATAAAATAGTGATATTACGTAGGTAAATTGTCAAATTATATAATATTCATCATAAAAGAATAATAAATTATTAAGAACCTCATTGTACACTATTATTAGTTTGATTACTTAGTTACTCGTTGTCCCCAAAAACTAATATTTTAAACTCATTTCTATTACTTACATGCGAAAAAACAATATATTAGGCGTGACTAAAAATCAATTTATTTAAGATAAGGTCAACGTACGATAAAGATTGATGCTGATTTTTATTTATTGTAATGACATACAAAACTATAAGTAAGAACCGATATCGTTGGAACATAAATAGAACTCTAAGATCAGATTGATCTACTTATAATACGAGATCTACCTGACAGTTCGACAAATGAGTTGTTAGTTTATCATTTTAATATCGATTGTACTTAATTAGCTATAATATTTATTATTTTTTTTTATAGTTTTATATTTTATATAAAAGAACATTAAACATGTATGTTTAAAATATTAAAAATACATAAAAATATTATATAACATGTGTAATTAGACATTAATTCACGTTAATTTTTTCAAATCGAACAATTTTTATCTATACCACTGCCCTATTATATTATATGTATGAAAATTTTTTTATGTAGTAGATTTATATATAGATATTGTTTTTGTCTAGCAGATTTATATTTTATGATAAAATTTTATGTAGTAGATTTTTATATATATATATAGTATAGTTTTTGTCTTGCAGATTTATATTTTATCAATACAATCAATAGAAAATTGATTTCCTATACAAAATTTCAAAAATTTTGTCTTAAAAACAACAGTAAAAAATAATATAAATGAGAATTTGTATATATCTCACATAAAAGAGAATATATATATATATATATATATATATATATATATATATATATATATATATCATAACAAAATATATATATCTCATAACAAATTGTTTATTTTCAAAATTTGCTACAATGAATAAACCAATTTTGAATGTTACTATAAAATTTACTATAACAAAGTATATAAACCATTTATTCACTACCTCTTGATAATTCAATTTTGGTTTTGAATTGTCGAATGACTAGATTCAATTTATGATTCTTCACAAATGATCTATTGTCAAATACACTAATATAAAAACACTTATTTTAAAGCATCAATTCACCAATTTATGAATTACTTTATAACTCATCATCTGACTATAGAATTCTACTTACAATTATTATATTATTCACCACTTGTTCATGTATTCATGTGCCAAAGCTAAAATTGAATGCCCAAATTATAATTTAAAAGTTTTGGGTAAAGGGGTAAACAGCTTGATGTCGCTTAAGCAATGTCTCGGATTCGAGTTTTTGTGGATGCAGAAAAT